AAAATCATAAGATTTTCAGACATTGGGATACATGTATTTTTTTTAAAAAAAGGATCTGACTGCTCACCATAAGGCCATAAGGGACAGGTAGGATTGGGCTAAATAATTTGAAAAAGTAGTGATGGCTGAATACTAAATGTATTCAGTAATGTATTCTGTTACGATGTTTAAAAAGTAACATATTCAGAATACATTTAGAATACAGCTAATACATACATACATACATATATCTATATATTTATATATATATATATATATATATATATATATATATATATAGCATTTTTTTCATGTAATTATTGTGTCAATATGTTTCATGAAAAATTATCATTTAAAAAAATCTTAACTTTTTTTTCTCTTTCTCACTGTCTGCTTCTGTCCACTGCTGCTCCCACAGTCCCCCGAGCAGAAGTCTAGCACAACACCAATACTAAACTTATCACTTGCAAACATATCCACTACTGAAGAAATTATTAGTGTGATCATTCCTTTAAACTCAGTAGCACTGAGATTAATAACTGATCATCACATTGATTTATCAGTCTACTCAGGCTTTAGCAGTAACTTCAGTGTTTGTAAAGAAGCTGTTAATTTAGGTCCTCTTTAGAATTCATTTAACAAGCATGTTTGCTACATGTTGTGTGTTGATTCTAAAATAATCAATAAACAATGTTTGAATAGTGTATTTTTTGTGGGTAAGTATTCTAGAAGTATTTTCCTAAAAATTTAAAAAGTAAATGTATTCTGAATCATGCCTTTACAAAATGTAACTTGGACTGAATACAGATACTTTTTTGTAATTTTTGTATTCTGAATATGTATTCCCAATACATCCCAACCCTGGGGACAGGGATGTAGTCTCACTTCCTGCTCTAAAATGCAGGGGTGTGGCTAAAAAGGCTCAGCCTATGGACTAAAACTCTTTGTGTTTTGGTAACGTGGTACAGCAATTTTTGAATGAAGATTTTTTAATTAAAAATTAAGCTCATGACAAATGTAAACTTTTTCAACTTACCTTTACAATAAATAAAAAAAAATCTTTAAAAAATACTGTCTGAATACTTTCTGATTTTAAACTGTGGGAAAGCAGTTTGAACTGATTTGGCTCTCTATACTGTAGTGAGTGTGCTCAGTTTGTAGCTCTGATCTAAAGGTTTCTTTGTTGCTCCCACACTTCAATCTGTCAAAATACAGCACTGGAATCATCCATCAGACCTGTAGTGATATCCAGCTACTGTCTCTATCTCTCTGTCTCTACTGGTAACATTCTGTGCAAAACAGAACAAAAATGGGCTCAGTGTGATACAGAGCAGGACTGAACAAAGAAAGGAATGGAAAGAGGCTGCGAAAACAGAGTGAGCTAGAGGGAAACAGACAGAAGAAGGGAAGGAGAAGAGAAGGATGATAGGAAAGATTGCAGGTGTGCAAAGCATAGGAAATATAACACTGGTGGATGAGAGGAAGGAAAAAGCAACAGAGAGAGAAAGATCTGCTAGAGATCTGCTCTAACAGTATTAACACTTTTAGGCTTACACTAAGGCTTAGTGGGAATTCCCCCTTTTTCAAAACGTCAGTATAAAACAAGTAAGAATTGTTCACAGTGGTGGAGACACGAACCAGACGTCTGAAGAGCTGAACTCCTCTAAAAGCTCCCTCACAGAAAGTTATTACATGAAATAGTTATGAATACACGGCCTGGTGCCTGAGACATCAGGCAGTGTATTCATATTTGTATTTTTTTTAATCTGTTCATGGCAGAGAGGTACATGCAGGGCTTTGTACAGCAAATTATGTATCCAAAGAAAACGTATTTTTTCAGATTTATCACAATTTTATCATTATCAACATTACATGTAAAAACCCAGAAGACAAATGAAGATTCACTGGTGTATTGGATAGCAAATAAAATGGTTATATTTGCTTTGTACAGATCATGACCCCTGATTCCTGATTGGGTAAAGAAAATCTGGTAAGTTATTAAGTTTCTCCAGAATAGAGAATTTCACATCTAACCACTCGTAATGACTTTGTTTACATCTCAATGATGGAATTATGCAGAAAATGTAAAAAATTTGGTAGAATTCATCCTAGCAGAATGATTATACCCAGTGTGTGTGTTCCTTTTAGTTGCTCTGATTAAATGTAACATGACAAATTTATAGTTGCTACTACTTGTGCAATCTATTTTTTTTTTCTCTTTCCACCATCTTGTTCTCACGTTCTCGGAATGCTGAAAAAATGCACTGGAATGGTGTGAAAGTTTTTGTGATCTGTTTTTTTTCTCCTGAAAACAGTGTGAATATGCCATAAGGCTTATTCCTTGGCAACTACATGGTCTATGATGCAAACTAGTTGAGTTATTTTTAGGCCATAGAAGTGTGTAATAAAACTTTGGCCATTTAAGGGTTAAGGTGCTTCCTCTTTTGCATGTTTACAATTTCAGAATTATGGCAATATCTTCAGATTCAACATAATGAATCAGCGAATGAACTATATGGGCAAAAGTATGTGGACACCCCTACCAATTATTGACTTCAGGTATTTCAGTGACACTCATTACAAACAGGTGTCAGTTCATGAAATCTCAGGCCTGCTAGGTCTGCCCCAGTCATTTGTAAGTGCTAGTATTGTGATATAGAAGCACATTTAAAATTTAAAGTTTTTTTTTTTAAAGAAACAAAAGTGATTCTTCTATGGCTTTGCTCACTTCTTGTGGACAGTACAGTGCAGAGGCCAGAGGCCAATTTATAAATATATATTTATATAATTTCCAGTCAAACAACCGTTAAATACAAGTCATTTTTCACACCTCCAGAGTTCAGTCTCAGAAGTTGGTTGTATTTTCCGCTTCTCAGGACCCAAGTAATCTCAAACACATTTAGTGATGTTGAGATCTGGACTCTGGAGTGGTGAGTCCATTGTTCTGAGAACACCAGCAGCTTCTATACTTGATTTGCAAATTTTCTTTTCTCAGTGGGTTTCTTGACAGCTACACATCCTTTCAGACTCACAGTGTTCAGTTGTCTTCTCACGGTGGAAGGATGGACAGAAACACCTGTGAATATTTCTAGATCTGAAGCAATAGTGGAGCTTGACTGTCTCCTCACTCTCAAAGATGAAAGCTTGAACTACTTTGGTGCATCTGTAATTTAGTATTTTTTGCAGTAGTTTTTAGAGTTTTGGAAATGCATATTGTTCCTTCGACTTTACTCTTCCTTATGCATTTTTTTATATCTAATATTAGACTTATGTATGTATATTCATGTATATTTATGTAGTAGTTGTCCACAGTGACAAACTGTCCACAATAACAAACAGGGATTTCCTAGTCAGCCCAGTATCACTAGCTTCTCTCTTGCATTAAACAATTGTGGGGCAGAGATGCTCTAAAGGGAATGTGTTATTTTATCCTGCTGCAGGGACAGCTGGTGTAATAGGGTTAATACCATGCCCATGCACACACTACAGAGCTGCTGTGTCTTCAGTATGAAATGGCTCTTTCTGCAGTTTTCAGGCCTCTATAGGGAATCTCTCACCACCACATGAGAGGAAATCAGCAATAGAGCACTGCAGAGGCTACTGTGGGAAACAGATAGGAATCAGCATCTTTGTGCTGCAGAGAAAGTGAACAGTCAGAGCCAGAATGGGAAGTAAACATAGGTGTGTAAAAGGGGTTTCAAATTATGGATGGTGTCGTTTCACAGCACTGCAGAAGACTTTGAGCATAAAATTTCAGGCCACAAACTCTTTGAGCAGACCCTTTTAAAGGTACCATAGAATGCATTTATTCAGTATTATAAATTGTATTCTGATATCTATGTTCTGCATAGAAGGTATGTGACTTTGGTTGAGGCAAAAAGTGCCCAGATTTGGTTTTACATGCCCATAAACAAACCATTTAGTTTGGCCCTAGAATGAAAGATGTGGAACGGAACATTCAATTAAGAAATTGGCTCGTTATTCGCTCAAAGATGAATATAAACCATGCCTGTTGACAGTTCGGTTACTTGGGAAGAATATGAACATCCCCTCACAGCCTGGAATGGTACATTTCTGCACATAGTCTGCCATTTTTATTGTTGTTGCTCCACTGTTGGTGTTTTGTTCTTCACGATACCTGCTGGGCTAGAATGTGGGCTGGCGTATGTACATTTTGGGGGCCTAAATATTAATGAGTCACAACTGTTACGTAACACTGTAGGATATTGGAATGTAAATACAGTTTTCTCTTCTATGACACCTTTAAAAACAAGATCGTCAAACAGGGGTTTTGGATTGATGCCACAGAAGAACCATCATGCCATCCCTGAAGAAACTTTCAGTGGGTGCGTCTTAAAAAGAAACAATTTATTTCATGAAATGTGCGAATTTAAAGAGCTTTTTCTAGAACCTTACATTCAAGCCAAGAGCCATTTAAGAACCTTTCTTTTTAATGAAATGTTTAATGGGATGTTGTGCAGAAATACACCTCCCATTCACATTCGCACACATCATGCAGATAGTGGATGCCACAGATTATGTTTATGGATTCTGTTGTTTCTTTTCAGAAATAACTGTTCATTTGAACTTTTCTAACTGAAGATAAATGTTTAGAAACAGCAGAAAATAAAAAGCGTCCATATGCCTGCACATGAAGGGGTGTCAGATTCTGCAGGGGAGACAGAATTCGGCACAACACTCGTTGCCCGCTTACTGCAGCATTCAGCTACATTCAGCAAGTTTTGTTCATTTTTACAGTTCACAGTCATCATAAATCAACAAATCTGCATAATAATGAGGTATAAAAAATTTAGGTGACAACTGAGTCCTATTGTTTGTCAGTGAGCTCCAGGTCTAGACCAAAGAAGCAAAATTTGGACACCAAACATGTCTTGGCTGATTGACTATGGATGGAGTAAGAGGAAAATTGTGTAAATTAGAATTTTCACCAAATTATTCCTTTAAGAGTGTAATTAAGGCATTCCAGACTATAATCACCATGTGAATGTGTGTGCGTCTACCTGTTTTCCCTCCATAGCTGCCTTCATCTCTTTGAAGGTAGTCTGGAATTCTCCAATGAAGTCATGCTTTCCATTTGAGTCCCAGTCCCACACTGTACACTAAAAAAGAGAGAAAGAACAAAAGATAAAAAGTAAAACAGGCCGCTAAGTTTCCTGAGACACTATTTCAGACAGAGTTGTACATATTTAGCCCTACTTTTGGCTGATTCTATATAATATGATATCAGTAATGTTGCATCTTAAGAGATTACAACCACATTTCTTTCATTTAATGTAATACTGAGGCACAAGCCCTTCCTGCAAAATGGACATAATATAGTCTACTATTTTATACCCTTAAACACATTCATTACTTAGGCATGTCTCTTGGTAATGTAATATCCTCTCATGGTTTTCTTACCACTGCCATGCTGACGACACTCAACCAATGTTCTCCTTCCCACCTTCTCATACTGAGGTTTCCAGTCACATCTCAGCATGTCTGACTGACATCAGTTTATGGATGGCAGCTCATCACCTGAGGCTCAGTCCCAGCAAGACTGAGCTGCTATTCATCCCTGCAACTGCATGTCCTCACTATGATCTCACTGTCTCATTTGAGAACTCTTTGGTTGTTCTGTCTGAAGATGCAAGAAGTCTTGGTGTGATTATGGCTGACTAGTTATTGTTCTCAGCTCATACTGCAAAACTTACTCAGTCACGCAGGTTTCTCCTCTACAACATCCAGAGGATTCGACCTTTTTTCTCTCTCAGGTGCTATTTCAGTCTCTTGGCACCTCAAGGCTTGACTACTGAAAGTCGCTCTTGGCTGGTGTTCTATGTGGGCCATCAGACCCTTGCAGCTGATCCAGAATGCAGCAGCACGGCTTGTTTTCAATCTTCCTAAGTTCACTCATGTCACTCCACTGCTGCGCTCCCTTTACTGGCTTCCTGTAGCTGTCCGCATCAGATTAAAAACCCTAATGCTTGCCCACAAAGCCAAAAAAAAGGACTAGCCCCTCCCTACTTTATGGCAATGGTCAAAACTCAATCTATGTATTGTATTGCTCTGATGCTATGTTTAATTCTGGTATCAGCACTGGCTTTTGTTTCTGGCAGTATCTGAGCTTAAGGGCAGTGTGGACAGTATGCGGACAATATATTTGTACTAGCTAAGATACATTCTCTGAGAGGACAACAAAGCACTTTTGTAAGTCACTGTACGTCGATAAGATCGCCTGCTAAATGTCGTACATATACATGTAAATGCAAATGCATGTGCAGTGAGATGGAGTTAATATTCAGACACTTTTTATGCACTTCGGGTAGGATGTACATTTTAAATGGAGTGGCTTATGTTAGTTTGAGATTTATAGGTACAGATTTGGCTTAGAGCAACTTTCTCACACTGATTTCCCGTCAAGTGTAAGAGGTTATTTAGAGTAGGACTATGTTTTTGAAGATCAGTGAATCAGCAGAGCTCATGTGACTCCCGACTTAGATGGCACAAAAAGCACTAAACGGAATGTAGGTTGTAGCCTAGATTCTACTGTGGCAGAAAAACATTGGTCAATCTCTGCATCTGGTTGTACATTTCAGAAATAGGAAACAGTTTTAAATGAGCTGAACGTTTTCAATTGTTTTTGTGACAGACACAAGCCTTGATATTGTTTTTCTCATTTTCAGTCTCTGTGCGTCAGCACGTAACATGATTATGTGGCAAAGTGAGGAGAACAAGTAATAGTCTGTCAAGTACAAATGTACTTGCTTGCCCCAGAACAGTTTATTCATTTTCTTTCTCGAATTCAATCTTGCAAAGAATTAATAGGAAGTAAAAAACTGGAAGCAATTTTATTGGATTTCATACTATTTAAGCCATAAAAAACAAAGTTTGTTAAAATCGCAACTTCTAACCTTACCTCTTAGAAATTATCACCGTTATTTTACTCTACTTTCGATATATGGCCTGTTATGCACAATAGGCACAATCTGATTGGCTGAGATCCATTCCACCCATGCTGTGATTTGTGATTTTCATAATAACTTTACTGTTCTGATGAGCAATAGTTGCTAATTAGCAACTCACTGATATCTGCAGCTAACGGTTACTAAGGCCCAATCCCATTTCTTATTTTTAGCCCTATCCCTTGTTTTTGAGTGCCACATTGCCCCTTGAATCTGAGTTACAAGGGTTGATATCTTCCTATACGAAAATGGGACAACCCTTCACAAACCCGAAATGTCATCGTTAGTTGTTGATGTAAACGAGTAATGAGTTTTGCCAGACATTTTCAATATGCCAATAGATATCCTTTTCCAGTTGTCTGCAGCAATTCGGAGAACTGTTAGAAGATGAAGATGCTTTCAGTGCCTGGGAATGCTGGTGGATTGGTTTGTGGTATGTTGAATAGACTGCAAACGAGTTTTGTTGTTAGCCTAGCTAAACAACATGCTAGCTAGCATGTACAGCATTAGTGACTGTGGATTCTGTTAACATTTTACGAACCTGTTTGTGGTACATGACGCGTTACTTTTCTTACATGTTCATGGATAAAGCTACAGAAAAAGACTGGACCCATATACGAGTATAACTACCTAACATGTGTGAGCAAGGGATGGACTGTGTGTGTGTGTGTGTGTGTGTGTGTGTGTGTGTTTGTGTATGTGGGTGTGTGTGCATGCCACTCCATCATCAGCTGACCTGCCTTGTAGCCTTGCAAAACAGATGAAAATTACAGCATTATTACCTCACTCCTGTTATTATGATAACAGCTTGCCAGTGTAAACAAACTGAAATATGTCATAGGTGATTATTTTACAACTAGTCCAAATACCAAAACTGAGAGACTAAAACGAGAAGAAAGAAATTGTCTGCTGACAAACATGTATTTGCAGCTGGTGATGGATTTTCACTCTCTCTATCTAATTGCTCAGGGTGGTGGGAGGGGGAGGGAAAACATGCTAAGATATTATTGTTTAGTATAATTTTTTAATCTTAATGCAACCAAATGTTAGAGGCTGGCAAAAGTCACTACTCTTCTATTACAGATTACAGAGACATTTTGTATTTTGAATGATATAAATGCTGCTTTAAATGACCATGGAAATGAACTAACAAAGTAAAAAAGGGTCACTTTAGATTAACTTTAAATATGAATCTTAGAGCCGGTTTACAGCTTGTATTAATGTGTTTCATGTGTGGATCGTATCTGAATACACTTTGGCCGAATTCACTTTACACTTGTCACTAAAATGTTTCAGTAGTTTGACTAGATTCTGACTTTTGCTTACTCTTTTTCCCATTATGATATGAGCCGCCAAGCTTGGCTTGGATGTTTTCATTGGTCCAGAGAGGCAGAAAGATATTTGTATGCATGATCTGATCACCAAAATCACATGTTAATGCAAGGTGTAAAACAGGCCCTTAGTGGAACCACTTACAAAGATTAATAACTGAATTTAAGCCATTTATGGCAAGAAATAAGCCTAATCATAGTCTCCAGTGTCTCCAGTGTCCCTATAGAGAAGGAGTACATACTGTCTTTATGAAGTAAATAATGAATATGTGTGCTATTAATAAGGATATGAACGACCTATCAGGACAGCGTGCACTGAGTAAGCTTGCGTAACGCAGCTAATGAAAGGTCAACGTGGCTGAAACACAAACATTTGTGTACCAACATGCATACAAATACTGAACCTGAAAATCCAGACAGAGTCAAATCTCAACACAAATCCTCAAAAAGTGCATATAATAGGGCCAAGAATGAATGACTGTACACATGCTGTATGTTTGTGTGTGTGCGCAAGAAGACAGCACACTGTAGCCTAGCTGTTGATGAATCATTGATGCAGAGACATTAGTAGGGGGTAATCAAAATTTGAAGGCCATTTAAAATATTAATACGAAGATGCTGCGGTTGACTTTTTCAACTGGCGGAGTAAAAGCCATCTTTTTCACCTAATCATCAGCTCCATTATCACTTTTTTTGTTACCGAGGTAACAAAGTGTTATGTAAAATACAAAAAACAGAAAAAATTATATCAACACACTAAAAATGCCTAATACAAACAAAGACCATAAAATACCAGAACACATTAAACACAGTGCAAGTCTCACAACTGGTAAAAGCCAAAGAATAAACATGGGCTTCACCATGTAAAGGTGAACTCCAGCAATTTAAAATCAATTCTAAATTGCACTGAAATGCGCAAAAGTGTGTTTTCTGTTTTCTTAATCAAAATCAACAAAACATGTCATTTAACAAGGGGCATCCAAAATTTTGCATATGACTGCAAATTTAAAAAGTTTGAACACTGATGCCACCAGACTGGGAGCTACTTTCAAATGAAAATAAAATAGGGCCAAGAATAGACCCTTGGGGCACCCCACAAGTATGATCAGCAGTATAGGACGCCTTTTGTCCGACAGACAATGAAACTTTTTCTATTAGATAGGTAAGATAAAATGCATTCAGAGCAGCTCCTGATAAACAGATCTACTGACTAAGGTTGTTCATCAAGATACTATAATCAACAGTATAGAGGGCCGTGATAAGATCAATAACAAAACAGAGATATATTCAGCTCTATCAGATTACATCTGCCTGTACCATAATTTACTTTCAGCCTGATAAAACTAGCAAGCAAACCTTTAAAGAGAATTAAAAGAGACTGGACTTTTACTTCACTGCAAAGTGGCTGCTTGAAAACAGTTTTGTCAAGTTAAATCAAATCTGATGTATCAGTCAATGCTTTAATTAAAATGTGAATGCAGTGCTTCCTCAGATTATGGAGGTGACATCACATCATGGACTGAAATCAGTGTCATCGCTGGAGCGACCTCGCAGCTTTCAGAACGCTCTGTGTAAGGAGCTCATGAATATTAAACGAATACGTTCATCTTTATTCATGATGGCGTCGCTTAAAATAACTGCATTTCTGTCTGACAGTCTCACCTGATATCAGCTGAGACAAATGCACATAAACATTTGGGGTCAATCACTTAGTCAGTCTTGCTGACTCAGTCGATCAGTCAATAGATGGCCAGCCCTTTCATGGGCCTACTCAATGCTTAAATGCCCCTCTGTGTAGCCAAAAGCTTACTATGACAGAAATCA